GAATCTGGTCCAACATTGACGTGTACATACCCAGTAGTGGGTTACACTTGCAATGTAGTGCAGGAATTAGGGATTATGAATAGGGCGCTACCTATCCTTTTTTCTTTTCTGTTTCATCCATTGGTGCTTTCTGCAGTGTTTGGATCAATTTTGTGCTGCATGACCCAGCTTCCGTTAAAATTTAGCTGTTTACATTCAACTCAAATACGACAAAAAGCACAGGTTCTGTGACTACAATGCATGGGCAAACCATCAGCCTTCCACCAACGTGCTTTAAAGTTGGTATGAGACATTTGTGAAGATATAATGCATTTGGTACCCTTTAATCATGGTGCAGTGCAGTATGACTCAAGATATCCACGGAGGTCCCCTATATGCAAAGGTCTCTCTTCCACAGGCCCTGTAATTCATCTAGATTCAATTTCCCTAACCTAAACTGAGCTGCCATTGTGCCACTTTCTAATGGTACATGTGTGCAAATTTTCTGAGCACTGCACAGTTATAGTAAGATAGTCAGTGGGCTTGATTCTTTTCTCCTTCAGAGTAATCTTTCTCTTTGTAGAATGATTACTTATTATGGCCTTACAACCTTTCCCAGATTGATGGGGAACAATAGTTGCTTCCCTAGAATGATTGCTGATTGTCTGCCCTGAGATTATATCAATACACACCACATAATTCCACACACTGCAATATATATCATTTGGAATGACATACATGTTTTTGGTTGTTGGGAGGAAGCTGGAGTACCCGGAGAGAACCCATGCAGGCACAGGGAGAACATGCAAACTTAAGTGCATACTGATAATACCGATCGCTTCTGATGGCTTAGCACTATCTTCCAAAAACTATTGCGAGTGTTTATGTCTCACTGGTTGTGCACACAGTTACTAAAGGAATGGGAGCGATTATTTAAGGTGGAGCACAGTGATGATCATGCTGCAACAGAGCCAAAATGATGCGCAAAACAAACATGACAAGAAGATGGCGACAGAAATGCTGTTTCTGCTTCAACAGCAGTACTTCAGAAGCAGTCCAACAGTCTCTTCTCCAAGAGAAAGTCATGACCAAAGTACCCAGAGAGCTCTTTTTCAATGACCATACCAACATTCACAGACACTCAGGGCAGATGTAGACTTGCTGAGATCTTGAGTCTCAATTGCATTAACACAAAAAGATGCTATTAACAATAAATTAACAGGAGCGTGTCTTGTGAAGGTCTACCATTCATCATATACTCAGCACACAGAAGTTCTCACTCTCTTTTGAGTCATCAGCAGGGCAGACAAGTAATTCAGTGTAAAACACAAAATGACCAAAGACCTGGATTGTACAACAACAAAGATAGCACACTGAACTTTCCCTAAAATCCTGAGCTTCAACATTCACTTATTAAATGACGCTGGTAAGTTAAATGTGCTGGTAAGTTATCTTGATTAAGGATCCAACCCATTCTACAACTGTTGCTCTTCTCATATCTGCTCTGACTCTGTTTTCGTCGTTTTTCAATGGGAAAAGCAGCTAAATACATGCCTCCTTCCTTATAAGTGAAACACTGCATTAGCTCCACAGACAGCAAGACTCTTTCAATTCACTCTTTGTTAGAAACTTGCACAGAAGTTTTGGTCGCTAAATCTAAAAATAAAAAAAAGACCCTTTAGTGAAGATTAGAAATGGAATTAGAAACCAAGAGCGTTTTCATGGCTTTGGTTATTCAAGAGAATCTTTTCCTCCTTCAGGCCCCTCTCAAGAAAGACTTTTTCTTCATCTGTATGTACTTTCAAACATGTGATTTGATTTATTTTGTGTAGGAGTTTGTGTATTTGCATTTAAAAAGTACCTGTTTGAGCTGATTTATAATTAAAGACACCAATTTTAGGGCCTGACGGCTTTGATGAAATGCTGAACAGGAGGCAAAATATGAACAGCTTAGCACTAAAATAATAAGATGTGCAAATTGAACTTTTTGGACAGCATCCTTTTTATATGACCTTCCTGACTCTCTCTGACCACAAATTAGGGTTTCATTTAGTCTGTGTTTGTCCCTCATTCACAAATCTCCCCAGGACTATAAAGATGGGCCAATTATCTCTGCGTATTTTCAACAGTCAAATCTCATTTCACAGCACGAGGTCGATATGCTTGCAAAAGAGAGAGCTTTGAAAAGACTCGAAATTCTCCCTGACGGCCCATCACACAGTCACCGTGAAATCCTGTAGGTGGCTCCATAAATGGAAAACGGCGGAGGTGATGTGCTTTCAGCTACTGAACTATGTGCTTTGAAGTTATCTTGAGTAGGAGATTTGTTTTCATCCTGCTTCATTTTTCTACTCAGCTGGCTGCAATTTGATGGCAAAAGCATTCAATTTAAAGCAGAAAGAAGGACTGAAGCTCATGACCTGTTGAAAAGGTAGAAATCTGCTTATTGCTGTCATGCTGTCCCTTAACAGTAGTGAGCTTTCAAAAAGACTTTCGAGATTACTGGGTAAACAAAAATCAAACGTAAAAGACTCCAATGGTAAATGGGTTCCCTTTCGGTGTCGGAGTAATAGACAAAAACTCACTGTGTTGTGATATCAAATATGACCTGTGGGTTTGTGGAAATTGAGATGGATGGGGATGGACAGAATCAGATGTTAGGCTTGTTTTCATAACACACACTTTCCCTAACTGGCAGGTGTGTGTCCATCTGTATATGCATTCATAATGCATGTCATAGTGTGCTTTTAAAAAGCTCACTGTTTAGACTGCAATAGTAGGAGGAGCCTTTCTGTTCTCTCATAACAATAACAGAAAGTGGAAGTCTCCTGAGAGCAGCAAAGAATAGACTCTAAAGTGCTCTTTCTCTAATCATCTCCTGCTTTGGTTAAAAAAAGAATATTGATATTTTGAAGACATAATAACCTCTCAATACAGATTTGCGACAGAAGAAGTGTCTGCAGCTATCTAGCTCAAAGAAAAACCATTCATATTGGATGGACACCACAACAAACACAGACAACTACTAACAAATGAAAGAAACAGCATGTATCATGCAAAAATAACTGAAAAAAGAAAATGTGTCCCTGGCTCTTTCAGCCTCCTTTAAATATCTACAGTTCACCTTCAACACACTGGAGAAACAAACAGAGGCCAGCTCTGTGACTAGAACATCTTCCTCTCCAGGTCTCTCCTACCTTTTATTCATATTTGAATGATCAGTGCAAAACCCCTGCTGTGTCGGCCTCTCACAACTGAAAACCCCCTTAATTTCAATGCACTGATAGTGTTGCAGAACACTTGCTCTTCTATCCCACTGGTGTGCCTAAATAAACTTTCACCCACTGAAGTGCCAAACAATGTGATGGAAGAACAGTCCATGAGTTCACAGTGTTGCAAAATAAATTTGAAAGTCTTACCACAGCATCTGACATGTAGGAACATATCGCAATCAGAGAGTTTCCTATTTCTATTTCAGCAGACGCTTACCCACTGTCACTTAAGAGTCATATTTTGTGGTCATTTAACTTTAAAGCAGAACATCTTAACATCTCCCCTCTACAAACTATCTTACAAGGGGGCCACCACTAGAGCAAATTAAATAGAATTTTTCTTAGCCACTCAACCAAAAGATTTATTGCAGATTTTTCCACCATGCAAACTCTATCAGACAGCAATTTGTCATTTCTTTTCCTAACTGTTGAAGCTCGGTGTAGGAGCGCAGTCTGATCCAAATCAGTCCAAGCTATGACACAATCTAGATGCAACAATGTTCAAACAGAGTCTGTGTAACTGAGGCAAAGTGGAGGAGGAAAAACATGGGATTATGTTCATATTTTAACACTTGTTCTCAGAATAGGATTACTTACGATCCAAGCCGTTGATGTACTTCATGGATATCTCACAATGCCCCCACACAGCACTGACGATGGGATACAGTTTCTTCCCTTTTAGGCCTCTAAATGCCACTCCTAGATACTGTCCATCTACCATAAAGCTTAATGTTCCTTCGTCCATGTCCAGAATGACTAGCAAAGAGTCTGGTAGGGTGAAAGACTCCTCTGGCTCCAGGAAACAGGGGTATGAGGGCAGAGAGCTGTGGGCCCGGTTCTTACTGTCGTGGTAGAGCCTGTTACGCCCCAGATCCCAGCCCCAAGACTCACAGTCCGAACCCACTAATGCTGTGTACCCAACAGAATGTAAAGGAGCATCAGAGGTGGCGACTCCAACCACAGCGTGGGTGCCTCTCTGCCGGGAAGGCCAGTGGATTTTCCATACATGCAGACCCCGCGTGTACCCGATCCGCCCTCTGATGCAGTCTGTGCTCTGGGCAACTGGGTGGCGGTGAAACGTTAACTTATCATCCTCTTTGATAAAGATGTTGAGCGAGCGGTCATCAGGGTTCCATGCATGATGGAGCTGTGTGTCCGGTCCGGCACAGGGCATGTCTAGCAGCAGATCCAGCCTGGGAGGTTTGGAGAAGTCTGGGCCCCTTAGCTCGAAGTGCTGCCGACGATGAGTTATGGGTCGATATGATGGTGAGCCACCAGTTTCCCCACGACTGTCCACTGATTTAATACTGCCAGAAATTTTCTGGCCCATTGCTGCTGGAGGGGATGGAAGAGGGAAGGGGGAGGAAGGGGTTAAGGTGGTGTTTATGCAGGTGGGTGCTGCGCTACGAGGAGCTTGCCATTACCATAAGCGGGAGAGTTCCCAACTCAACAGTGATGGGAGCAGATGAAGGAGAAAATGATGAATGATATATGGATGTGATCTGGTTTCATGCCACAAATGTCTTCATAAGAAACAGCTGCCACTCCTGTTGAGAGAAGGAAAAAGAGAAAAAAATTGCTTTTAGCAGTTTTCAGCAGGCCAAAACTAACCACATAAGACGTAAGACATAAACTGAGATGGCAGAGGAAAAAAGAACTCAAAGAAACTCAAAGAAATGCTGATGGCAAATAATGGCTAAAGCCTTCATTTCACACATTTGGTGTTTTGGAAAAAATAACAAGATTAAAAATAACACACAGCCCAAAATACACATGCATTTTATGTGACTCATCCTACCTTCCACATTCAAGTGCCAATATCAATACATGCATCTATCTCTCCAAACATCCCCCAATTGGGCAATGTTCCCCACAATTGAACTTGGCAAACTTGCATTTGGATAATGTATTTTTAATGAGAATTGCCTGAGTCTGCAAAAACACCGACAGAAGAAAAACAAAAACACTGAGTAATAATTTATCTTCAATCCTTTGTGTACTAGTTAAAAAAGTCAGCTTAACTTGCCCTGCTCAAAAGAACATGCAGCACAATCTGTGGTACATTGAGTTACTCTGTCATTTAGGCAGCATTTTTCATTTAGCAATACAGGCTATTACTAGATATGAAAATGGGTTATTATGGTACCTTTTAACAATGGGGTTTTCCGTATTAATGTCATTTCAGTGCCAGTTTTTAGCTGCGAAGAGCGGCTGTTACAGGCTCAGTTCTTTTTCAGTTTAATTCACTTTCTGTTTCTGTTTGGTTTTGGCTATGTCCTTAAATGTTATATTTATAGTCATTTTCAAAGTCATATTGAAGAATTATTGAACAGCACACATCATATGGTTAGAAAATACTAAAAGTCCTTTAACTTTAGTGTTTACATTCAATGTAGATAGTTGCTGTTTACACCTCTATTTCCTCTAACTATCTGTATATCTAAATATGTATATTTCCAAGGTCTAGATTTGTTATTTCAAACAAGATTTACAATTGTTCAACACCTAATTTTAGCATATGAAGTCACTACAAAGATGATTTGACATACAACCACAGACAGTTCTGTGTGGTAAACTGCTGTAGCGATCTCTTCCAGGAATGGCAGCTGGTGCTCCCTGTTCACAGGAAAATAGTCCAATGCACATGGGGTAGAAGTGAATGACACAACTCTATGAGTCTACAACTTGTGCTTACCTCATTCCACATGAGTGTCAAAGGAGACTGCTTTCTTATTTTGCTTCTGAACTGACGCTTCTTCTGACAAATCTGTCTGGCTACTAAATAGATATGATTCACCTCTTATGATTGTGTCAACGTTGTGGTATGGAGATGTGTTTTTTCTTTTTTAAAAGCATGAAGGTACCAACAGGAGTTCCGGTTTTAGCCATTGAAAAGACAAGAGCTAAAGTTTAGAAGACTTTCCAATAGCTTTCTCAGCAGTTAGCAATAGCTTGATCAATGGCAACAGTTGAATGTTGCTTTGGTCTCTTTAAAATGTAACACATTAGGTCTATCAATGAATAAGGCACAAATATTCTCAATAGCCTAAACAGCCAGTGTAGTAAAAACTGAGATTATAGTGAGAATGTGATGACATCCCACGTCTGTATACACACCCACACACGCTGTTATCATCTGTGAGGATAGGACCATGTTTTTTTCTGAGTATAATCAAAACTTACTACAACCGGATTCTAATTCAAACCTAAGTCCACAGCTGAATGTAGATGAGCTAAACCTGCCCAAATGCCCTCCCTTTTTTCGACCGAAACACGTGTTTCAAAACTACAGCTTGTGCTCAGAAATGAAATAATTGTCATAAATACAAGGGTTTCATTCCAGCCACTTGTGTTTTAGCCATTCTAACCTTTTCTCCTTTCTCTCACTTTGGATAAGGTCATTGTGGTTGGCAGCTATCATGACTAATGTATCCCACTACTTAACTCACCACTCGGCAAGAGAGGATTCAGTGTCTGGACACACATCAGCTGTCTTGATGCGTGTCAGGGCAGCTGGCAGATGGGTAAAGGGTGGACTCTGCATGGATGATTCCAGAGTCATCATTCCCAAACTTCAGTCATAGCTTGCATACATTCAGTCTGCCCAGTCTGCCGCAGCAAGACACTGACAATCTGGCGTTTTGCCCCATCATCAAAAGAGTCACTTGAACTCTGACCATGTGATGTCATGGTCATCGTTGCATAGTAACCTCGCAAGAGGGTGTTGGTGGGCTGGCACAGCCTTTGCTGCTGTGAAAAACAGCAAGATGCTTCTGCCATCTGTTGTTTACTTTGCCTCCCTCCCTTCATTTTGCTCTTTCTCTCAACTAGCTCCCTTGGACTGGACTTATTCCCCCTTTTTTCTTACTGTAGGAAGAGGTTCAGCTAGGTTATACATATATGAAGAAGTCAACAGCTCAGACAATTATAATGGGATTTAGAAATCCCAAAAAGATATTACACATTATTAACTCATTAATCGCTCGATCTTTGAAATAACAATAACTGAAATAATATAAGTTGATTTTAACACAAAGCTGAGATCATCATGTAACTATGTTTGGATCAAACTGTGATCCAAAAAATGGCAGTCATGACCCAGAGTGGGAAAGGAAGGTATTGAAGAAAAATCAGTGTCACACCTGGGGGAAATGTTGGTGTTTTTGGTCTTGTCTCCATGT